GGCAAGACAAGAGAACTCTGGCATTTGCCATAACAAAAACTTACTTCGATTGACCCCCTTCCCTTCCCTTCCCTTCTTCCAGAAAATGCGCATCCCTGATTACAATCAGCTCTAGGAATCCCCACACAACCTGCACTGCATCCGGTCTCGGTGCCAAAATATGAAGCCTTAGATCATGAAAATCCAACTTCTGTTTTTTTCTTGTTCTTTCCATTTTTTCCCCGCACTTTTTGCCTCGCCGCTTAGCACCCGGATGTGAGAGGCCCCTCGTTTTGCCCCCCGCCCTCCGCCTTTCTCCCGTCGCCCGGCTGCGTGAGCCGCGCCTCGACCTCCTTGCCATCCTCCAAACGGATGTTCTCAACACACTCGCCCTCCTGCGAGGAACAGCCGCGAAGCATCGGCCTCTCCCGAGCTTCTGGTGACGGCTGGTCACGGCAGGTTTAGAGTCACTGCCATGCGAGAACTCAAAGAACGGTTCAAATGGGGTGTCATTTTTTTTGTTTGGTGGCTCCTGCAACATCATCTCCACTGCAAGTGGTTCATAAACAAGATGCCGAAGGTTAAACTTTGGCACAGAAACCCTACCCCCAAAGCCCAAGGATCCGCGCTGGGAACCGAGCAAAAAGGACCCAGTTTCTCTCTAAATTCGGATTGGTTGGTCCTTCATCAGGCGACGTGTTGATTCTGAACAAGAACCAGTTGGTCCACCGGAACCGCAAAGGGGGTTTGATGCCATTTGGATTTGGGCTGACCACCCCCTTCCACGAAGGCGTTTGTCTAAAAATATGGAACCCTCCAAGTTGGTGGGTTGGTTTCCTTTTGTTCCGCTCAGACGAACATACGCGGGGCGCTTTCTATGAAAGCAAAGCCCGGTTGCAAGATGTGTGCGTGCGCCCGCCTACAGGTTTGACCCGGAAAGCTTTATTTATCAGTCTGGCTGACGCAGAGTGCCATTCAAAATGCCCTAATCAAGGAGGTCAAAAAAAAATGGGAGCTCCGTGTGGGAGCCTAAGGGCACAGGATGTTTTCGAGGCCCCATTTTCAGGGGTTGATCAAAGTGGGCCCCCTAAAATGGTGAGTGTCCCCTTGGGGTCCCCTTAAAGCCAGCCCAAAGTAGTTGGACCATCCCCCGTTTGTGAGAGCAAGACCCATCGAAAAGAAGAAGCCGCTCCGTGGGTTTCCCCTTAAAGCCACCCCATAAAACACGATTCCTATTTTCAGGGCCGTCTTTTCTCCTTAAAGCCACCAAAGACAGGATGGTTCATGTTTTTCAGGGCGGCAAGTCTCTCCAAATGGCTCCCGTCCTCCAGGAGGTAGAAGTGGGTGCTCTCCTGGCCCTGTGCAAAGATGAGGCATCCGTTGTCGAAGTATCGCCGTTCCAGGGACCCCGCAAGGGTCGCCACCTGCGCGTGGCATCGGCGACGCCATTTGTCGACGAGGAGAGGCGCGCGTGGACTTCCGCAAGACCTGCATTAGCTTTAAACCCGCCTTTTTGGGGGAAAAAACAGCTTGGTCCAGTAGTGATAAATCGATTCCCTTGAACACCAGGCAAAAAAGAAGAACACTGGTTCATTTCAGCAAATGGAAGAAAATACTGCCAGACCAACCACACTCAACATTACCCAGACGACTGTCAGGAAGGGAGCGGGGCGTGTACATTGAATTCATAGCGGCTATCTAAGTACAGAGGGGCTGTTTGCCACTGTGAAGGGTTCTGAGAAAACGAAGGATACCTTAGGTAAGAAACCGGGTTCTGATTTTAAAGGGCCTCCTGCTTCCCCAGAAATCGCAAATGGAAGCAACCCACTGCTTGGGTTGCTAGTCTCACTGCGCGCCTGCATTTCAGTCAAGATGTCGAACTCCTTCACGCGCCTGATCAGGCTCTCCTGGCACGTGCGTCTGTTTGCCTAGCAAAGCGACGGAATGCGACGGATGACACCAGCTGCAATCCATGAAGCCTGCCGCTTCGGGAACGTCCAGCTTTCCCTACGAGTCAGCCTGGTGTTCTCTTGCACAACCTGGAGCGAGGTTTGAAGCATTGCTTGGCCTCAAAGGCCCAAAGCACCAAGTGATAAACTTGGTTGCTACTTCATCATGTTCTAAGTCAACATGCTGAAGGCTTAAAGGTCACATCGACAAGCTTCCGGAGAGTGCGTGCCCCTGGAGAGGTAGAAGATAGAATCGAACACGGGCGATTGGGTTCCTTTGCTAAACATTAGCATGGATTCACCGTCGGCCTCTAAGGCCAAACTGGATGTGCTTCTTGTTTACTAAAACACCGATTTTAGAGCATCCCACTAATTGAAGACAATACCTGCGTCAAGTTGAACGAGGATCGCCTCCGCTCAAGCCACCTCCAGACACCCGGGGGGACAAAAAACCACCCCTGTCATTTGACTCGGGACGTCCCAAAAATAGGAAGAATGGGCACTTGCAAGCTGATAGCCACTGGTAGTCTTCAGGCCGGCCCCAATAACCGGCCTCAAACTTCCCAAGGACTGCTAATCCCAAGGCTAGTCTAACATGTTTGATAGATTGCAGCCACACTGCAAACAAGGAGAACACAGAAATGCCGACCTTCTCCAAGTTTGGTGCCACGGGCCCCAAGGAACAAGCCACACAGGGGAGAACGATTGGGAAACGCCTATGTCAAAGGGTCCGCAACTAGGTCCTCCAGTAGAGAGATTACAAGAAGGGTGCCCTCTCTCTCTCTTGGTATTTTTAGTAGGGGAATCCTCCCCCAAAAAGGGGTAAAAGGGCACTGCTGGGGAACCTAGGTAAGGAAGCCAATGGATTCAGGGGTCTCTGATTTTGGGAAAGGGCCACATGGAAAGGCCGGCCTGTCCTTCCCAAAAGCAGCAGCAGTTAGTCGCCGCGGACACCGAACAACTCGCGCGGCGCCTTTCCCAGCGAGGTCCGGCCGATCCGGCCTTGTGGTCCCTTTCGGCAATCATGGAGACAAACTCTTCACGGCCTGCGGCAAGGCCCGAAACTTGCCATGTTGCCACTAGCGAAGCTACTGCTTGAGTGGTAGGTTAATACAAGGAAACCACCCCAGTTTCTGACTTTACCCAAAGAAGCACTTCAAAAAATGACACCAGCAAACGGAGTCCGATTGGCCACGGCAAAGGGGGCCGCGCGAGAGGTTACCTGACTTTCAATTGAGAACCTTTAACTAAGTTTCAATCCAAGAAAAGGTTACGACAATTCGTCCAATCTGACCACCCCCCCCTCCAACAATCATCGCATGGCTACTGAGAGGACCCAGAAATAGGATGGCCTTTTGGGACCATGACTAAGATAGACCAACAAGGGGAGACCAAAAGGTCACATCCGGTCGATTCGCTTTGGACAAGTGAGGCCACAGCAAGCATTGAGAGCCTGAGGATTAAGACGAAGAACAAGTCGCAAACCCTGGGAATAAGGGTTGTGGGATCGCTCGGGGTTTATCCCCACTTCTGTGATACAAGGGAATCCCCTCTTTAAATGGCGGTGTAGTCTTTGAGTGACCTTTATCACAGAAGTGGGCATTTCCCGCAGCCCTGGGAACTAATTTCAAACATATGCATGGAATGGACTGGACCATGAAGCCGTTGCTCAAAAAGCCCCGGGTTTCCATGATCCGGTTGCTTCCATTAGGTTCAGCCCCCTGGAAAAAAAAAAACAAAAAACTATGTCCAGTAGTGAAACTGATGGCTTCCGAACCCAGCAGGCGGGAAGAACCATGCTCAGAATAATGGATTTTTCTAAAGCTGACCAAACCATACTAAACCAAACAACAAAAAATAACAATACTAAACAATCTGAAGCAAATGGACGTTTCTGAAGCCACATGGAAAATAAACAAGCAATCTGTCCAGAAGTTAAATCGACTCCCTTTGAATCCAACAAGGGGAATACCTGACAAAATACACAAACAGTATTTCCAGTAGTGAAATCGACTCCGAAAGGGCAAATAACATGCATACTCATTTCAACAAATGTATGGAAATCGACTCCCTTTGACTCCAAAAAACAGAAAATAACGCCAATACTGGATGGATGGAGCCAAACTGGATGGAAGGAACCGAGCTGGATGAAGCCAAACCGCACGCAGCGGACTCCCGAGCCGCGCGTTCCGCGCAGACTTGGCTTCCCGGGCTCAGCTTCAGCAGCTTCACGTCCGTGCGCGCCGTGACCGTGGCGGCTCGGCCCTCCTTCCTGGCAAACGGAAACCCCGAAAAAAATATGTGGGTCTGGGGGGGGGGGAGCGGGGGGTTGGGGACGGGGGGTTGGGGACGGGGGTCTTGCTTTGTACAACGACTCTAAAGTCACTCTATCCACCATATATGACCATGAGGAGGGGGGGGGAGGAGGGTTTGGGGATGCTGCACCAGATATTTGACACTCTGAAGTCACTACAGGAAGGCAGAAAACTCCGCAACTGCCAGTGAATTCTTCTTCGGGGGGGGGGGCGGGGGTACCATATATATATATACATATATATATATATATTTATATATACATACCTGAACCCTCCAAAAGTACTGAAATTTCCGTACATGCAGAAAAAAAGTGTCAATGTACACTTTTGAGGAAATTTGACGGAAATCGCTTTTAGCAGGCTGTGAGCGTTTGTGGTGCACTTGGATGCACATGAACACAGTTTGCAATTTACACGGCCCGTCATACTTAATTCCGTTTCAGGTCTTTCGTCTCCAATTGCTGTGGGGCAAGGTGTGACAGCTTCCTTGCCGCTTTTGCGAGTTTGCACTTTTCTCAGCCAAAATGCAGAAACCGCAAATGCACGGAAATCGGCGGGAAATGCACGGAAATCGGCGGGAAAAGTACGGAAATCTGCGGAACATGCACGGAAATCAGCGGAACATTTTCTTGAGGAAATGGGCAACTTTTGTCCTTGGTGAATTGCACACCTTCAAATGGTATGAGCATGACAATCTCCAGTGCCATGGCCGGAGCTGAAAGTGAGATTCTTGTAGAAAAAAGGTAGCAAAATGCTCCGGTGTCTTATGTTGAGCCTGCAAGAAAAGTACAGTTTTTGCTCAAATGTATGGATTTCAAGGAAATGCACGGATTTTTGCAGAGAGTCGCAAAAAAAGTGCCCTTGGTTGGTCCAGGTATATGGGTGGTATGCCCCAATTTCTTCTAGTAGTAGTGCTTCTTGGATGCTTTGTTGGTCGCAAGGTTCACTTTTGGAGTACCCCAAGGTCTTGAACCCAGAGGTGGTTCATTTCCCCGAAAAGGAGAACCCCTGGCTTTACGTCTGCCTGGGCCCTGAGAACTCATGTTCGATTTGCCAAGTCAGGTGGTTACCCTGGGACATAACCCACAGGGTTAACTCAAGAAGTGGGTTGTCACCTAGGTTTCTTTGTCTCACTTCCTGAGTGGATTGGCCCAAAAAAACGCCACCCACCGTTCTATTTACAACTAAAATGGTCGTACAGTCCAGGAACTCAGGAGGGGGTCGTAGGGGAGTTGAAAGGAACCAGCCTTCCAATGGTCTTTCTATCTTCCAAGGGTCTTTGGCAATTTGGAGAAATGACGACTTCTCACTTTCCAGCGCCTTCCTACCATCCAGCCAGGGGTCCCAATTTGCACCCCAAGTGCCGTTGCATATAACCCACTCCGGGTACCAATTCACCGCCCTTTGAAAAGTTGAAAGGAGACAAAAGGAGACCAAACATTTTCAGCCCCCCCCCATTTTGGCGACAAACCCAAAAAGTGCTGCGCTTTTCTAAGGGGTCCAAAGTGAGCCTGCAGATCTTTTCGGCTCTCTCAGTTTGGTTCCAGCAGGATTGTCGGAGGGATCCGGTGTTCGGGTTTGTTCCCCACAAATGGCTTGCCAAAGTTCGAAGGAACCAACGAAAAGCCCAAGGGATAGCGCGGATGGACAAAATCCTGAAGATTTCAGATCTTGCGAGACGCTCTCGCGGAGGTTAGGTTCCATGTTAGCCCGTTGGAGGTAACTGATTCCAGTGGACGAACACTCCTGCACCTAGGAAGGATGACACCCCACAAAGATGGGGATAAACAAGGATAACCACCTACCAACGACGCAGGATTTCGCCCATCAATGGTGTGAGCAGTGAATCCTATGTCAGCTTCCGTCGAATTGGCCTGGATTGGTGGTTGGAATGGTAGGGTTCAGCTTCCCATTTGTCCGAATCTTTCAGAACCAACATCCTATGCAGGGCTCAGCCTTCGTACCTTTGAAATTTAGAGCTCCGCATGCCCAAGTGGACATAAATGGACCACTGAGTGGCATTCTGTTTCCACGAGCAACGACATGAACCGGTGCCAAACCTGCAGATCCCAAGACCCACTTTGCACCTGAGAAAGTTTCATAGGGATCCGAACTGGTGGAGCTTCTCCATGCACCGCATGGCCGTGAGAAGCAAAGCCCAGGTGACGTGCTGCTGGGAAATCACCACAATGCTGGCCCAAATGGGTGCCCCGTTTTGGCCGCGAAAGGGAACAAGACAACCTAGCATTTTTTGGGGCGCCCAATTGAGACAAACATGATGCGCATAAATGCATTCAGTGCGCCAGAGCACAGCAAGTAATTATCCACAAAAACAAGCAAATGGTCAGCGTTCCCCTTTGTTGGGATGTTCTTCTCTTCCTGTGTGTGTGTCTTCAATGTCTTATTCACCCCTCTCAAGCCAATGCAATGTCCGCTTTGATTCGAATTAAAAACCCGTACGTTTTGTTTCACCACAGGGGCCCCTCCGGTTCGGTCGCTATGGGAGCCTTCGAGTCTCCGAGTGCCGGGCCTCAAGAGAGCCCTCTCCCCGAAGAAGCCCCCGGGGGGGTATTGCAGGACCTCTTCCCACTTGCCGTTGATCTCAGCGAAGCGACTTCGATTCAGGCCAACGCAAAAAAAGAAGGTGAAGATGGAAAAAAAAAGCAAGGGCGCAAGGGCTTGAAGGATTTCTGACATGATTTTTTCCTGTCCGCCCAAGGAGCCAAAGGGGGAAAAATTACGGGGCCCAGGGGCTTGGGGCTCTCCGAGCTGGGTTCGCCCTAGATATTGACTCCTATGGTCCCAAAACCGAATTCAAGCTGTTATTGCAGGGAAAAGTAAAGAGAGAGAGAGAGAGAGACCCAGCCAAGAAGTGCTTTCGAAGGAAGACCGCAGACATGCCAAACCCTTTGTTGCAAGCGGCGAGAGAGTTTCCGCGGCCAAGGGGTTTCGATTGACTCAGGCCGCCGCCGGAATGGAGGCATAGCACTCCCCGGAATCCACGATGAAACAATCCAGGCCTTCGTCGCCTGGCCGCCGGCCGGGGGGGGCTCCAGCAGCCCCAGTGCATCCATCGACCAACAGCTTTGCAGGGGGCCTCCAAAGCCTAAGCTCGGTTCACGTTGGAAGGGGAAACAAAAAGAACCTTAGCACTTAAGTGGGGGTTTCCGGAGCAAACATTTTCAGATCTTAGCAGTTCAGTGGTTGGATTTCCCCCATTAAACCACAATAAGCAAACATGTAAAATGCAAAACCCAACAACAACCATGTAAGGGGGTCAGTGCCCCGGTGGATCCATCGACCTGGCTTTGGAGGGAACCAAGGGCTTAGTACAATAGACAAGCCAAACAGAAACTGGCTGGTTACCTACTTGAAGGGTAACAGGGATCTACTGGGTGACCACAATAGACAAATTAAAAGGACAAATGGCTGGTTCCCTATAGGGTAACTGCAGTGATCCCACTTGAAGATAAATTCAACCAAAAAGAGGACCCAAAGGTGCTACTGGGTGTTCTTTTTTGAGGGTTGAGCCATGCCCTTGAAACGGCGGCTTCAACCCAAACTTTGCCCAACGGCCCATGGCTTACACCATGCTAGACGTATCTTCCGTGTGAATTCGGTTCAGCGAGAATGGCCGTTTCGGAAGCCAGCGATGTTGGCGAATTTATGATCTAAGGATGGGGCTGGTGTTGCTGGCTTGCCAGAATAGACAAATTGAAAGGACAACTGGCTGGTTACCTATAGGGCAACTGGCGGATTCCACTGGGTGTGGGGCTGGTGTTGCTGTCAGACCAAGTGGGTAAAGGGGACGGAGGTTTTGGAACAAAGCATGGGGAATCATCCCCTTTGAACTCTTATAGGCCGGTCCCGTGCCCCGTGCAACCGAAAAAGCGAACATTCGCCACGGGTCAATCTGAAGGAAAGCCCTGCTGAGTCAGTGAGAAGCATGTGCCAAGTTCCGAAAAGTTCAGGCTTTGGCCTTCCCTGCACCAGTGCCTTAATCTTGCCACAGCATGTTGGGGAAACCAAGAGATGCAAGACCCTTGCGCTCAGAGTCGTGTCTGACAGGTTTCCTTAAATACATCAACAACCACCTGCTCTGCAATGGATAGAGGTCAAATCAACGGGTCATTTGTGTTTTCTCCACTGGCAGCAATGCAACCTGTTGATCTGTGGTGAACAACGCTTTACCCTGCGGCCCCGATGCATTTGCTTTGCCAACTTCACATGTCGGTGCCTTGAGTGATGATCTCGTGGCCGGCCTCGGAGCGGCTTGCAGAACAAAAATTGCAGAACAACATTTCCCGATCCAAAAGACTTGCCGGTTCGCAGGGAATGAGGAAAGACGACCCTTACAAAGAGAATTCACACCTGTCAAGCAACAAAAAACAATACAAGCGACCCGACCCAGTGAGCCCGGGCGCAGATGCACGCCCTGCTGGGCAGAAGCAATGCCTTGCCCGTTAGGCGACTGGGTCAAGTGCTTGTGTCTACCATTGCGGCAACAAACTAATCAAACACACGTGAACTCTCTGTTTTTGGGAACGGCTGAGAACGGGTGGGGCCCGCAACAGGCCGAACGAGTTTTGTTTGGGGGAGGGAACTTGACTAGGTGCAAGGGTGCCCTTTTTTCTAGTTGGGTGCCAAACTTTCAGCTGCATTTAGTTTCAACCGATGGCCCATTCCCCCCAGGAGGGACCTGTGAAACTTGCCACGTGCCTCAAAACAAGTGGCTCTTCCATTTGCTTTTTGGTCCCAAGGAGCCAATGAAATTGTCCAGTAGTGATAGGTTCGCTTTAACACTAACAGGGGAAAATGAAACAACATGTTCTTGCAAAAATGGAACAGCTGCTACTTGGATGTTCGACCAACTAAGTAGGTCCAGCTTCACGTTATTTGGTGGGATTGGTGCTTTGGAGGTTGCCCAGAACCAGGGGTTCAAGCCCCCAACCAATCAAAGGCACCAATTGTTGGTCATCTGATCGATTTGCAACCACTCACTTCCAGAGTGGGCCCAAAACGTCACCAAACTTTTTGTTCACCACTACAACGGTCCAAACCTCCACAAGTGGCTAAAGTCCGAAACGGAACTCCGGATATAACTGCGCGAACGTCGTTCGCCCCCTGAGGGTTGGCGTCTGCAAACCGAGCTCGATCTCCAGCCAAGTTGCTGGACAAGCAGTCAGCCTTGGCCGGTGTCAACCGGTAAGGAAGCTGTCCAAACGTGCAGTGCTCCTTGCCCCTTCGGCCATTTCATGATGCTCTTGATTTGAAGGGGCGCCCAAAAAGGGGCTGAGCTTTGCAGTGATAACCTGCGCCATTCTTGCACTTAAGAAACACATAGCCTTCTGGCAATTTCCCCAAAACATCCTACATATTGAATGGTCAACATGATCAACTAAACATAAATGATGGCAAATTAACGGAATGTCCTGTTCCCTGCTTGGGCTCGTGCGAAACCCTGACACTCCCGAAATGCTTGGATTCCTTGCGGTTTCTCTAAAAGAGGGTCCCCAACCGGGACTGAAAAACAAAAGCTCACTCGCAGCCTGCTTTTCCGCATGAGACTCGTCTGAGAGCTGGGATTCCCCTACATTCATCCTTATATTGCGGGAAGACCTGATAGGTTAAATGCCTGTTCGCATGCAATATCATGTAGGAAGTGCCCACACTTGAATGTTATATCCTTGTTGTGGGCCCCCTTGCCTCCTTGTGCGCAAATTGACTCACGCTTCTTCGCTTAAGGATGCGAAAGGCAAACCGGACCTGACAAAGGCAACGCAACTGCCCATCCTTAAGCCCAGTGGGATCCATGTGCCGTATAGGTACCCAAGGGGGCCACCCTTTCAACACCAAAAGGAATCTGTTTGCTGGCATTTGCTTAAGTCCCCTGTTTTTTGTTGTTGTTTTCTTCTATTTCCAGCAGTGATAGATTCCTTTAAAACCAACAGGGGGGGGGGGAAACAAGTATTCTTAAGCAAATGGAAACTTATAGAGTCTTGCCCGGGATCCACCTTAAGGGCCATCTTTTGTCTTTCCTACCGACCTTGCACCAAGTTAGGCCCTCGACACCCTCGAAACAAATAAAGCAAGCCTATTTCGAAAAGTGGGCTCCCAGGCCTTGACTCAAATGATGCAGGAACCTGCCAACAAGAAGTTAAAAGGTTGCCAACTCAACCGGGCTGTTCGTTTTCAGATCCCCGCCAAAAGTGACTAACTTTTAGCGGGTGAAATTCAGACATCCAGCCACTAAACTAACTCAAAAGCCAAAAAGCCAAAAAGCCAAAAAGCTAACAAGCCAAGAAGCTAAGGGGCTGGGAAATCCAACCAGCTAAACACCAAATATATATATATATATATATATACATATATATATATCTATATAACTAAAAGCTAAGGAACCGGATGGCTGGTTGAGCCACCAACCCAAGGGGCAAGAATTGTCTTTTTTCGGCACCGAGGCGCTCCAAGACCTTTGCGCACTCCTCGATTTCCAGCTCGCCCTGGCGGTGGCAAAGCTGAGATCGGATCGAGCTTTCCGATCACTCGGATGGCACCGGGATGTTTTGTTGGGGGGGGGGGTCATGACGGGGTGCGGTCTTCTGAGGTTACCTATGACGGGAAACCCAAAGGGGAAACCGGGGTTGTTTGGTGGTTTTTCACGGGAAACCAAAGGAACATTCGGCCGATATCATGTTCGTTGCAGGTTGCCCTATCTTAAGACACCCCACGTCGCAGGAATGGTTGTCAAACAAATTATTCTTGTGGGCGCAGTCGAATGTCCAACAGGAATGATCGGAACTAACCCTCTCAGTGATGCCCTTCTCAACCGAAAACCCGCAACTCTGCCGAGCAAGGTGGCTCAAACAAGCCGGCATCGCGAAATTCCTGAGCAGAGAGAATGGGACGCAGCTTTTTTCGGGCAAGGGCGCGCTTGCCACAAGCCCTGAGACATTGACAAACTCCAAGGCTTGTCTCAAAATAGTGAACCTACCACACCACAAGGGGATAGCGGTCTCCCCCCCCCCCTCCCAGCCCAAGAACATATTCCCCGAACGCCCCAACCGGCCCAAGCTCGTTGGCGGAGTGCCCTCATGGCCGCACACTTGGAGTCACAAACCTTGAGGACCCCAAACAAATGGGGTGGTCTTTGTTTGTTGGGCATACAAGAAGGAACACCAATGTATTGAATGTTGCTTGGAGTCCAACAAGGGACGACCTCTCCCAAAAAGAAGAACGGCTTGAATAAAGAGGATGATGCTCTGTCGCAACAGTCGGCATCAACATCGGATGCCGTTTGCAAGAAAACCATCCACACTCAAACTCAAAAACATGGCAAATGCAGCAACTAGTCAGGGGCATCCACCGGATACAAACACCTGGCCAAGGGCTTGCCTTTGGGCACCGGGTGTTTTGTTTTGGCTCCCTATGTAAGAATCACGCATAGGGCAGGCCAACATTCAGGGGTGCCCCTGTTCTCACTTGGATGGTCGCGGAGTTAGCGAAATGGCTAGGGAATGGTTGTAAGTCCCCTCTAACCAGGGTTCTTAGCCATTTCGCGATTTGTCCCGGACCACCTAAGCTCGGGTTTGCCGCATCCACCCGGCTTGAAATCTCAGATAGCTCAGATGGCTGTGGGTCAAAGCCGCTTTGGGATCCCATTTTGGTTGGTAGGTGAATTCACCACCCATTTTCGTCGAGATTTTAGTGGTTGGATTGGGATGTTCACTGGGGGTAATGTTAACCCCGGATTAATAAACCCCTGGTTGACTTATAGCGGGGTGTCCAATTCCTTTTAGTGCTTGGATTCAGGTACCACTTTTGGAGGGGTTTACACCGCTCTAATAGTGGGACGGGTTCATTAATCCTGGGTCAACAGTACGGGATTTCGACCCCTGGCCAGATCCTGAGCAGATGGCTGGAAGAGCTTCACCTGTCGCAGCCGGTCCTTCCGGTGCTCCAACGCCTGACGCATCAAGATTGCTCGCGCAATCGGGCACGTTCTTGTCCGAAAACGGGAGAAGGAAATCGGAATCACGGGATTGCAGCTGACTGGCGGTTTGCTCTACAACTCCCCTTTTGCAGGTCTATGAAAAGGGGCAACTTTGAGGAACCTCCGTAAAAAGCCTTGAGCTGCACCGAGGAAGCCAAGGCTTGGCTCTGATCGCTTTCTCAACTTTTGTTTCGGGGGCGTCTGGAACCGCTCGCAGCTGGAAACCTCCGACATCTTGGGGTTCTGGCCCCTGTGTTTCGTTCGGTTGCTGCGGGACCTGGAACAAATAAGGCGATTACCTTTTGGAACCTTAACTGCTGAATCTGGACCAAATAAGGGAAACTTTGGTTAAAAGGGTCCATATTTAGCAGTTGAGGACCAACAGATCGATTTAACTGCTGAATAAGGAAGGTCAAAGGTCGGCTTTGGGCAAATGAGTTCGTGACCGAACCATCTTTTCGCGGGGTGGGCACCATGAGGGCTCCAAAAGGATCCAAAAGGTGCCTCCCAACACAAAACGCGCCATGCTTAAATAGCTTAAGATTCCAAGAGCTCGCATGATGGATGATGGGCCGGCCACCTGTCAAACATTGCCAGCAGCCGCCAGTGAGGTTGTCCTGTGTGAGTTTGGTCCTTCTACCACTTTTGGGCAGGTCCTGCCACTGAATTTTGAAACAAGTTTGGCATACCTGGCAAAAGGCCAGCTTACTTTTGCCAGAACATACCCACCTTGCGCAACAAGACACGGCATCCAAGACCTCTAGTGGATATCCATGGTAACAAAACAAGGAACCCCTTCAAGGAACATGATCTCCAAGACCAGTTCGTTTCTTTCCTTTCCCTGGTACTCAACGGCCCCCCTCCCCGAACAAAACAAATGAGAAAAATAAGGCCCCCCTCCCTCCCCACCCACCCACTGGCATCCCAAAATACATGAATCAGAGGGCCTTTTCCCCCCACCCCCCCCCATACCCCCCCATCCCTGGCCCCACGGTGTTCGCATGGATCCGTGCCTTAGCGCTGTTGAAGGCCCAGTCGATGAAGGGCTCGTAGGCGATCTCGTTGCCATTGGCGGCCGCTAGGTTGAGGATCCTTCCCGCGGCTGACTTCCAGTTGCGTTTTCGCCCCCTGGCAAAAAATATATAACCTATTTCCAGTAGTGACAGATTCCCTTCAAAACCAGCAACGGAAAATGAAGAATATTCCTAAGCAAATAGAAGCTAAGCTTTTCATCCAGTTCGCCCGCTTCCCACCAAACAAAATCTGGGGTGTCCAGGTTTGAGTGTGGGTGAAACCAAGGGTGTCTTCCGCGTTACAGGTGCCTAAGGCGGAAACCATTGTTGGCTTAGCTTCCCTTTGCTTTTTCGTGCCCTCGGAAAAAATACGAGGAAGTCAGTCCAGTAGTGAAATTGATTCCCCTTAAAACCAAGAGGGGAAGTAAACCGTGTCCTTAAGCAAATGGAGGGTTTGCCCCTTGCTCGAAGAAGGACACACTTGGAAGCAGGCAAGCAGAAACCAACGTGCCAAAGGCTGAATTGGTGTCTTTACGGAACTCCCGGTCGTTCCTTGGCTGCCTCTTGCAAAAAAACAACTTTGGATACCCCCAGCTAGTAGCTAGGTCAAAATAGGAGGAGCCCAAAAATCGTGGTTATCCTTTCGGTTCCCTTTGAACCAACACCCTCAAAACCTGAGTCCATCAAAGTGACACCCTCATAATTACCCAAAGCGTGGGTCAAACAAGCAATCCCAAACAAACTTTGATACTCCCTCAACATGCAGCCACTTTACTTGGCCCACAAGGATACACAGAAAACCCTCCTTTCTGATTTCATGTTTTACTCAGTTGTTCAGTGACCCTGGAAGAAAAGGGAACCCTTTTTGGGGAAGGCCATTTTTGGTGGGGCAGCCACCCCCCCAAAAAAAGGGAAAAAGGGTGTCACTGAAAAACTGAGTTTAGCTTCCCCAACACACAAAACGCGATTTGGAGGAGCTGAGGCTGCCAAAAGTGAAGGTCCTGTCGATCTCATCCGGGGCGAACTGGTCGAGGCTTTCAATGAGTCTCCTCAAGTCCTCTTTGCCCTGGGCGGCCGAGCAAGTCGACACCCACACCGACTCCAACACACCCACCCACCCGCACACACCCACACCCACACCCACACACCCACACACCCACAAACACACAAACACACAAACACACAAACACACAAACACACAAACACACAAGCAAGCAAGCAAGCAAGCAAGCAAGCAAGCAAGCAAGCAAGCAAGCAAGCAAGCAAGCAAACAAACAAGCAAACACACAAACACACAAACACACAAACACACAAGCACACAAACACACAAGCAAGCAAGCAAGCAAGCAAGCAAGCAAGCAAGCAAGCAAGCAAGCAAGCAAGCAAGCAAGCAAGCAAGCAAGCAAAGCAAGCAAGCAAGCAAGCAAGCAAGCAAGCAAGCAAGCAAGCAAGCAAGCAAGCAAGCAAGCAAGCAAAGCAAAGCAAAGCAAAGCAAAGCAAAGCAAAGCAAAGCAAAGCAAAGCAAAGCAAAGCAAAGCAAAGCAAAGCAAAGCAAAGCAAAGCAAAGCAAAGCAAAGCAAGCAAGCAAACACACACACACACACACCACATGAGCCATGAGCAACATGATCTATATGGCCGATGCATCATATGGTCATGGTTCCCCCAAAGGTGGATGACCATCCGTGAACTCACCCCATGTCATCGGGTTTCAGAGCCATGGCAAGGGGACCCAGGCTGAATCAACTGGGGTCAACATGAGGGTCTGGTTGTAGGGGAGCCCGACATGGGGAACGCGTTCCTGTTGGGTGTCCTTCCAAACCCCGAAACTGGGGCACCAACTCCAACTTGGTTGACGTTGAAAGGGGAGCAACAAATTCAAAGTTTAGCAGTTAAGTGGCTGGAGTTCAACCACTAAGCCACAATAAGCAAAAATGGAGAAAATGTTTCCCAACAACAACCATGCCAAAAGGACACACCCACCTTACTGGTGAGCATTGAGAAGTGAGCAGAAGCCAATGCAAGGCCGTGGCCTTCGAATGGCTCGTGAGCGCGCGCAACGCTTCACATGAACGTCGACCAGGACTTGGTCAATGTGGCGGATTTTTTCGTGTTTTTCGGGTGCCCCCCCAAACATGAAGAATCCCCACATGGGACACCAAATCCATGGGGGCTTAAGAATCCTGTCAAAATCAACATACGCCAAACACGGCAACCAACAAAGGAGGGTTCCTCCACGACGAGGGCTTCCGTGCGACTGGAATTCAGGAAAGCACATCGGCGGCTGACGCCATCACTTGCCAATGCAAACAAACACCCGCCAAATGGGTTGGTACTCTGTTTGGAGTTGGTTTAACTGGGAAGCCGACTCAAAAATCACAATTCTTGGACACTCATTACACCCATTTGGGTATGGGTGAAAATTAAACCACCTGGAATTGGACCGCAGGTTTTCGTCCTTGGTTCCATTTGCCAGGGTTCCATTTTGGGGGTTACCCCATTTTGGACCACCACAGCCATTTCGCGGAAATTCTGGTGCCAAGCAGCAATGGTGCCAGTGGCCTGGTCATCAAATTGCTGAAACTGCTCCTATCGATCATCGATTTGCGGCTCGAGGGCATGGGAAAAAGGCAGAATCAGCTTCCCTGACTTGAGCCCGCTGGTTTGGTGCTGTGTGGTTTCCCCTTTTCCCAGTGCCTTACTTCCTGAGACTCGCCAAAGAAGCCTGAACTTCTTGCTTGCCACACTGGTCTTTCCAAAAGAGTCCATGGACTGAGGGAGTGAGGTACTCATTCTACAAGAAACACCGGTTCCAATCCCCCATTGAAGAGTGTTAGACCTGGGAGCCCTGATCAGAAGCCCTCAGTTCCCACTTGCCATGGGTTCACGCGGCCAAAAAACAAAAAATCGGCACGTCCTTCACGGCAGCTGCCGTCTGAACCATATCGACTGTGTCCAACCTCAGCGAGGGGAAAGGAGCGGACACGCCAAAACTACTTGTGACCAGGCAGGCTGAAGCCCATGAGATCTCTTTGTGAGGCAAAACAAGGAGAATTGAGTCGACCTGGGGGTAGACGGAATCCTGAATCAACCTGAAAGGCTACGTACAATATGGCAAGTGACGGCAAACCACCTTGAGTTTGCATACCCACCCACAAAAATGATGATCGCTTACAGAAACTTGGCGGAGACCCTTACTCCCGTACTTGCACTATATAGGGCATCCAGTGTCCCCCGCGTCCAATTGCCTAGCCCCCCACTAGCATGGAAGAACTCGAACTCCGGGGCCATCCTCTTGAAAAGCAGGGCCTGTTTCTTCCTTGGCTCTCTTCCTGAGTGGGTTGGCCCCAAGTCGAAACAGCTTCTTTGAAACTAAATGATTGCTTTCCCGACTCGGTTGCCCAAAGGACCTGGGGATAAAACAAACAAACCAAAGGTCAGATCAGGTGGATTCGCTTTGGTCAAATCTGACCGTTGGGCCAAAAGTTGGAAACCAGCGTTCCCGCGCCTGTCTGAGGACCAAGCCCCAAAAAGGTTCAACCTAGTTGCAGGATATACCTTTCTTTACCTTTTCTCAACATGGGCCAACCCAAACAAACCCAAGGTCAGATCAGGTCGATTCGCTTTGGGCTTTGGCGAATTCTTTTGCTTGCTCAAAAAAAACCCTATGGTTGTCAAGGCCCCCCAGTAGGGCCTTAGGGCCACCCCCAGTGCCAAATCAACGGACCGAGGCCGAGGGAGCGGCAGGTTGGGAGAGTCGCGCCCCGTTGCCATGGCGAAACAATTCCATCGTGGCAAGCGCACCCTCGCTGCAAGCCAGCTGCCGGGCCGGCGAGTGTCGGGGGAATAACCATGGAATACCCATCCAGTTCCGCAAACAGCCGGCAAAATGGCAGGAAGAATCATCCCCTTCCGCAAAAGGGGATGAAAAAGGGCTCACTTGAGAGGATGGGCAACAAAGTAAGCGAACTTTTTTGGAGTGCCGCTAGAACGGTCTGCCCAGAAAGTATTGGAGTCCAGGAACTCAGGAAGTGAGTAAGGTATTAAGCCATATTTGCTGAATCCTTTGGCTGGGACGAAAGACATGCAGAAAACGAAACAGCGGCAGGCAATATGTCGCCCGTTCGGAAAACAAGCAAACGCGGGCGCAGGGACAGTCGATTTGTTTGTTGATCCTGCTTTCAAGGTATCTTCCCAGGGTTCCTCACTTCCGTGGATCGCACGCCAAGTCTGAACTTGTCGCTTACTAAAACGGCCTCCAATGTCGAAAGAGCAGCTGGAGAAGCGCGATCTTAAAGGGGTGGATGTTGAGCAGGCGCAAGAACCACAAGTTTTCTTCTGCCTCGTTGTTTGGAATGTCTTTGTTTGAGGCTCGGTACCCGTTTCCGGTCAGTTTTAAAGGGAGGCCAAAAGGAACCACCCAATTTTCGGGCGTCCACCAATTTGAGGCAGGCGCATGCTGGGGTCGCCTTTTTCTTGGACCTCTAAGAGGGCTATGGGGAGGGCGGGGGGCTATTCCTTATTAGCCCCTTCCCAACATAGGCCACGATCATAGCAGCGCAGACCTCTCGTTTCCTTTCCGAAAGGCCAACAAAAACTAACCACACTTTTTGAGTGCCACTCTAAAACGGTCCAAGACCAAAAAAGTAGACTTCCATTTGCTTCTTCCGCCCCTAAAAAAAAGAAAGCATGGATCCAGTAGTAAAACTGATGCCCTTTGAAACCAACCAGGGGAAAACATATGCATTTCAACAAAGTGTTCCAGCAGCAGCCCTTCAAAACCAAGAAGCCTTCAACAATGGATGAGCTGCAAGAGGAGGAACCGCAGCAACATTCACTTCAGCAACTAGGGAAAAGCACCTTCATTTCAACAAATTCAATTGTTCCAGCACCCCTTTACAACCAACAAGGGGGGTGAAAAGCAGCAACCTTTGTTTAGCAGTGGGTCAAACATAGGTACCCAAAATGAAACCCTGGCAAATGGAACCAAAGACTCAAACCTGCGGTCTCCATAGGGTACATATCGGGAATGGGTCCCGACAATCACCTGCGGTCTGGTCGCTAAATTTTGACTCATATAAATGGAACCAAAGACGAACACCCCGCGTAACCCCAGCTCTTTTTTCCCCACATCTTTGTGTGGGGTTCTTACTTTTTCCGCTCGTCGTCCGCACGCCGCGTCTCCTCCTTCTCCCGCTCGTCTCCGTCTCACTCACTCACTCACTCACTCACTCAACTCACACTCACTCACTCACACTCACTCACTCAGACTCAGTCACTCACACTCACTCACACTCACTCACACTCACTCACTCACACTCAGTCACTCACACTCACTCACACTCACTCACTCACACTCACTCACACTCACTCACTCACTCACTCACGCTCACTCACACTCACTCACTCACACTCACTCTCATTCACTCACTCTCATTCACTCACTCACTCACTCACTCACTCGCTCACTCACTCACTCACACTCGCTGACTCACGGCAGCTGTCTAGAGGGACAGGATGTTGTCGCGCGCGCGGCGGGGGGTGTGCGAAATCGTGGCAGGCGCAGCACTTTGGCGATGCCGTTGCGAAATCGTGGCAGGCGCAGCACTTTGGCGATGCCGTTGCCGAAGTCGTGGCAGGCGCAGCATTCTGTGCATCTGGGTGTGTGTTTGTGTGGCAGGGGTCGCATTCGGCAGCTGTCTAGAGGGACAGGATGTTGTCGCGCGCGCGGCGGGGGGTGTGCGAAATCGTGGCAGGCGCAGCACTTTGGCGATGCCGTTGCGAAATCGTGGCAGGCGCAGCACTTTGGCGATGCCGTTGCCGAAGTCGTGGCAGGCGCAGCATTCTGTGCATCTGGGTGTGTGTTTGTGTGGCAGGGGTCGCATTCGGCAGCTGTCTAGAGGGACAGGATGTTGTCGCGCGCGCGGCGGGGGGTGTGCGAAATCGTGGCAGGCGCAGCACTTTGGCGATGCCGTTGCGAAATCGTGGCAGGCGCAGCACTTTGGCGATGCCGTTGCCGAAGTCGTGGCAGGCGCAGCATTCTGTGCATCTGGGTGTGTGTTTGTGTGGCAGGGGTCGCATTCGGCAGCTGTCTAGAGGGACAGGATGTTGTCGCGCGCGCGGCGGGGGGTGTGCGAAATCGTGGCAGGCGCAGCACTTTGGCGATGCCGTTGCGAAATCGTGGCAGGCGCAGCACTTTGGCGATGCCGTTGCCGAAGTCGTGGCAGGCGCAGCATTCTGTGCATCTGGGTGTGTGTTTGTGTGGCAGGGGTCGCATTCGGCAGCTGTCTAGAGGGACAGGATGTTGTCGCGCGCGCGGCGGGGGGTGTGCGAAATCGTGGCAGGCGCAGCACTTTGGCGATGCCGTTGCGAAATCGTGGCAGGCGCAGCACTTTGGCGATGCCGTTGCCGAAGTCGTGGCAGGCGCAGCATTCTGTGCATCTGGGTGTGTGTTTGTGTGGCAGGGGTCGCATTCGGCAGCTGTCTAGAGGGACAGGATGTTGTCGCGCGCGCGGCGGGGGGTGTGCGAAATCGTGGCAGGCGCAGCACTTTGGCGATGCCGTTGCGAAATCGTGGCAGGCGCAGCACTTTGCGGATGCCGTTGCCGAAGTCGTGGCAGGCGCAGCATTCTGTGCATCTGGGTGTGTGTTTGTGTGGCAGGGGTCGCATTCGGCAGCTGTCTAGAGGGACAGGATGTTGTCGCGCGCGCGGCGGGGGGTGTGCGAAATCGTGGCAGGCGCAGCACTTTGGCGATGCCGTTGCGAAATCGTGGCAGGCGCAGCACTTTGGCGATGCCGTTGCCGAAGTCGTGGCAGGCGCAGCATTCTGTGCATCTGGGTGTGTGTTTGTGTGGCAGGGGTCGCATTCGGCAGCTGTCTAGAGGGACAGGATGTTGTCGCGCGCGCGGCGGGGGGTGTGCGAAATCGTGGCAGGCGCAGCACTTTGGCGATGCCGTTGCGAAATCGTGGCAGGCGCAGCACTTTGGCGATGCCGTTGCCGAAGTCGTGGCAGGCGCAGCATTCTGTGCATCTGGGTGTGTGTTTGTGTGGCAGGGGTCGCATTCGGCAGCTGTCTAGAGGGACAGGATGTTGTCGCGCGCGCGGCGGGGGGCGTGCGAAATCGTGGCAGGCGCAGCACTTTGGCGATGCCGTTGCGAAATCGTGGCAGGCGCAGCACTTTGGCGATGCCGTTGCCGAAGTCGTGGCAGGCGCAGCATTCTGTGCATCTGGGTGCTCTGTAATCGCATCCATACAAGGGGCGCACGGTACATGTGTGTGGACATTTGAACTCACATCCTTGGGAAAAACATAGCATGTGGGGTTATCCGGTCCTTTAATTCTTTTTTTGGAGCCATACCCATACCCATTTCAGCAGCTGGAAGGCAGTCCCAACTCCCAACTCCAGCCGCCCATGTGGCGCACCGCCGCCAGCTCCTCCCGCAGCTCCCGGCCCTCGATGACCAGCACGCCCACGTGCCGCTGCGCGCGGAAGCGCTGAAGCTGCTCCTAGCGTCCGGATGGCGCCGGGGACGGGGTTCCTTGGAACCCATGGGGGACGCCCCCAAGCAAGGTGGTTCAGGAGGTCGTGAGGGGGGAGGGGGTTTCTTTGGGTCCTGTGGCTGTCAGGGGACCCAGGAAAGACCCCCAACACAGGTGGGTAGGCCCAGGAGCACTTTTTTATGGTTGTCACAACCCAAAAAACTGCTCAAAAAAGGTAAAGTACCCAAACGGCTCCTAGCACTAGGCCCCTGATGAACCCTAGTCGCGTTTTTGGTACTCGCGCCCTGTTGGGGTTTCCGGCAAAACACACTTGTCACAAATCAAGGTACCCAGTTGGGGGGGTGTTTAAGCCCTTGGACACTTGACATAATTCAGGCTACCGATGCTAAGCCACGTGCGACACTAGCCCTGAGTTTCCTTGTCGAGTTGCCAAACTTTCAACTTCTCCTGTGTTGCTTGTTTCCTTTGTTTCAACTTTGCTTTTCTGAATGGCCATCCAACTCTCTGCAGGTCCATTAAAAGGGGAAATAAATAGACTGAAGAAGCTGTGGTTGCTTCTGGCTGCGATTCAAGGTGGCGTGGTGACCCCTTTAAGAGTTCCCAACCTTCCTTCTCTGAGTCGCCTAAAGGAAGAAAAGGTGATCAGCTTGTGGGACCAAACGACTAAAAATGGTTCCCAACATGGGGAAACCAAAAGGTCTGATCCGGTCGATTCGCTTTGGGCTTTGGTGAGTTCTGGTTTGCTGAAAGTCCTATGGTTGTCAACGGCCATCGTCCTTTTTGGAAAATAGATGGCCCTGGTAGATGATTGAACCACGAGGTAAACCAGGGCCTTCTTTTTTGGTTAACCAAACGAACAAAAAATAACACCTATGCATCCAGCAGCCCCCCCCATCCCCCCATCTGGGCCCCCAGATGAAAACCAAGGTCCAACAGCTCCCGGGGCCTGGATCCCCCCTCAAGCGTGTCCCATCGGGAAGCCTGGAACTGGTTCATGAGATCCACCTGGGCCGAAGGCCCGGGGTCTGGGCGCTCTTGATAAAACTTGGCCAAGCCTTGGGGTGGTAAACCACGGGTTTTTCTCCAGCCCCCAGAAAAACAAAATAAACACGAACAGACAGAACCAAGAGCGAAAAGAAGCCAAACATCGTGCCAACATCATTCACCAGCACGAGTAAGCGGCCTTTATTGGCGAGCTCGCCGGCATAGGTCATCTTTTGGCACATACCCGGCCCTGGTAAATGGGGCATAAAACCACTCTAAACCAGTGGAACCCATGTATTTCTCACCAAACTAACCTAAAACATCTAACAACCACCTTTGCAAGCAGATCCTTTTCGCCAACTGCAAAGGGGGACAGCTTGTGGCTGGCCGAAAGGGTTGAACAGTCGCATCCTCCCTGGCCCCAACATTTCATGACGTGCTCTGACTGGGAACAGCGAACTCGCAAACCGTTGGGCAAGAAGAAATGATGGATCTCCATCATATAATGTTCACCCTGGATTCAGTAGCCCCTGGTTGATTAGTAGGGTGTCCCCTTTCAGTGGGGTTCAGACCACTTTTGGAGGGAACACCCCCCTAATAATGGGACGGGTTTATTAATCCTGGGTCAACATTAAACTACAACACCGCAATTCAAAACCCTGAAATCAGAGATACCCAAGTAAAGAAGCGTCAAGCTCGCGTTCACCCCGGGACCCGGTGGGCTGCTTCTCGCCTCCTGTGACAAGGACGCCAGGCTGTGGTTCTGCGCCGCGAAGGACGCCTGCGATCGGATCGAAATAAATCAGGTCCCATGTTTCCAGCGCCTCCAAAGGTAACTCAGGGCTGGCCACCCCCTTGAACATGTAAAATAAACAAATCCCCACCTTTGTTGGAATAGCCTCTGCTTGCTTAGAGGGCTTCTTAGGTTTCAACCCAGGAAGTGACTTCCCCAGGAAATCGGCCTTAAAAGCTTGGCAAAAACAAGCGCTCTCCCCCGTAGCAAAGTGTCAAAAGGCATAGCAGTTCTCCACCAGCGAAAACCGGTTGAGTTGGACACCCTGTCGAGCTTGAAAGTGCACGGCCCATGGGTTGCAAACCAAAACCTGCGTTGATTGTAGCAAACCTGCGTTGATTGTAGCAACTCTCGGGAGCCGCAATGAACCGCAAGGCTTGGCGCAGGTCGGACTGAGGCTGAGCATGTCCCAAGAAAGAACCCCAAAAGGAAACTCCCCTCTTGGCTGTGAAGAAACAAACTGGGTTACAGCCGCGCATGCGGGAAGATTAAGCGTGCGATTTGGGCTCCAAGCCTGCGTCCCGAAACGCCTGAATCGAAGCCGCACTCCTCACGCTTCAAGCTCCAGCCTCATTCCAAGCCTGCTTGTAGTTCAGGATCTTCCGGTAAGGCTCATACCTTGGAGCTGGATGCAAATCGGAAAACCTCCCGCAGCCCCCTATGCCCCAGGCGTCATGGAGGCCTGGGTTCATTGTCCCTCCTCCCATATGGCTTTGTGTAGTTTAACGGGACATGAAAAGGAACCCCACCATTTTTAGGGGGCCGCTTCCCTTTGGGCACATGCCTATATCTTGGTTGCTGTTGGCCCCTCTGCACACCAAAATGGCTCACTTTCTGCGGGTTTCAACTACGGAAAACCAGCCTGATTGTGAGCAACACTGGGGGTTGGATACTTTCTGTGGGTTCAATGCTTTCTGTTGATGTTGTGAGATTCTTCATGAAGCATCATGATTCCCTTCACCACATGCCATCATGCGGTTGGATACTTCTCTGGGTTTCTGTGGGTTGAAGTTTCCAACTTCCGGAAAAAGAAGTCCGAAAAGAAGAAGACACCAAAGCAGAAAATTCTTCTGTGGGTTCAATTCTTTCTTTGGGCTGATGTTCCCAAATTCATCCAACAAGTCGCCGAAAATGCCCACGCCCGGTGGCCATGAAGATCTCGTTCAATCTCGAGGCCCGGAAACTGCCTTCCCCGCCGCCGGTCTCCCCAAAAAAGACCCGCTGGGAAAAAACCATGCTCTAAAAATGGGGGGGGGGACCATGGGGGACCTATTGGGAGGTATCATTCACCAGAAACATGGTGGACTCAGATGGACAAATGGAATCGGCGGAGTTGGATGCCCTTTTTGAAGGATTGCCCGGTCTGGGAAGATGGGGCGAGGCCCTTTCTCAGTTGCCGAAATTGAACCTGGGAATCAAAGATTCATCTTTTGGGACCTTCGCTAAATTTGAAATCTGCCCCGGATGGGATCCAGAAATAAAGGTGATCGATCCCCTTTTAGGAGCTTTACTCAACTTGGTTGCTGTTGACCCCCTGCAAAAAGTGCTTCACTTTTTGGGGGTTTCGTGGACCCCCCCTTGATTTCCAAAAAAGCTAGCAGCTAGTCTAAAGATCCAACCCAATAGCAGTCAAGCAAAGCTGGTTGAACCCAAGCCAAAGAAAGCCCCTTTGAAAAAACAGCACGCATATAATTGCCATGGGCATATAGGAGTCCATAATAATGTACATATCTAATGATATATTCCAAGATCAAAGCAATGTGATGGCTGCGTAAAATAGATGCTAGGCTGGAAAAATCGGACCCCAGCAAGAAAATAGTTTTTTGCCTGGTTGGTGGGAAACAAAGGGACCCCCAAAAAAGCAAACAAAAAAAAGGGGAGCTACTGGCCCAAAAGCTCAGATCCGATCCGATCCCGGCGATTCCCTTCGCTTGCAACCGAAGCCGCGTGTCCAGGCTCAGGCGCTGGGCCTGAAACCCCGGCCGCCAGCGGCGGGTCGCAGCTGAATCACTGAAAGAATGGGGGGGAAGGCAACTCCCCAGAAAGATGTCCAAGCCTTAGGGTTTTATAGGGCTTAGGGTGTTAGGGTCTAGGTTTGGGGTTTAGGGTGGTACAAAAACTGGGTGGCAGTCCCCTACGAAAAATGAACAGAATCAAAAGACCTAAACACCTCAAAGCATGCAAAGACGAGTGAAGAACGTGTTTTGATTTTCTCAGACATTTCAAACTCCAGCAATTTGACTCGGTTGCTTTCTGCTCCCCTGTTAAAAGTTTAACTTTTAGTGGTTTAGTGGAAAACCCATTAGTTGGCAAAAGGTTAAAGTCCTAACAGCCAAGCAAAATGCACCAAAGTTGATTTACCGTTGATTTACCATGAGTTCCCATTATTCCAAATGGCTGGGGCGGAAAATTGTTCCATGCTGAACTCGAATCGGATCCGGGATAGGCGCGGCCTCTGGAACCAAGGCCAAAAAAGTAACCAACATGTTTGTTTCCCGCTAAAATAATCCAACCAAAAATCATCCAGGAACTCCGCAAGTCAAAAAACCAGCTAGTAAGGTCTAGCAATGGAATGTGTTCATTGTTTTGTCGCGCAAGGTGCTGATACGGGAAGGACGTGTCCGGGGTAGGGGCTGGATGTTGAGCATGGAGCCCCAAACTGCTCGTCGAGGACTCTCCGTTTGGGACACCCTTTTCCCTTTTGGGGGATGCTCTGGGTTGGAGCTTCCAGATTTCACCAGCTTCGCAAAACCCCTGGGTTGGTCAGGAAAAGTCGGAAAAAAAAAACACAAACTGGTTGCCCTGGAAAAATGGCAACAGAAACCTGTTGCCACGAAGAGCTGGCCTTCCCAAACCGGAAGAACAAAGAAAAAATCAGAAAACAAGTCCCAGCTTGCAACGCGAGGCGTCTTGCAGACCAACCGCCGTCACTCCCGGAACGAACGCACTGGGGTCCTCGCCTCGCGGAGTTGCGCCGTCAGCTTCTTCTCCGTGGCCTCGAGGCAGCAAGACCACGGCCTGCAGGGAAGGAACGAGTCCCGGAGCCAAACGTTTTCAGTTCGTTGGGGGCGTGACCAAGTGGTTCTAGGTCCTCCAGATTTGAGAGGTTAGAACAAGTTGGTACCAACTTTTTCTGTGGTCTATTTTACTAGGGGAACCCTCCCCCAAAACAGGGAAAAAGGGCACTACTGGGGGACCTAGGGTTCTTCACAAAGTCGAAGAACGGTACGCACACACCGAAACACCCCAAAAACGCTGGTCTTGGGGAGTCCCGAGACTAAGGGAACCACTGAAGGTGCTACAACTGTTCAGCTCCCCGAAAAGAAGAAGAAGTGCGATCGCGACAGGTAGGAAATGGGATGAGAACTGGAAGGACTCCAAAAACAATTCACTCCAATTGGTGGTTTCCTTTAAGGGAACCCTCTTCCGGAACGGAAGTGAGCCTTCCAAACCTTTAATTTTCTTGCTGCGATAGGCAGAGAATGACAACGGGTCCGGGTGGTGGTTGAATGAACCCGTTTTGGGGATTCCCGAATGAAGGAAACCACCAGTTGGATGGTTTCTGGGGTTCATTCCATTTCTCATTCCCTGCTGAGAACCAGCAAGTTTTGAGCCCACCGAAAAATGCGCTTTTGCGCATGTTCAGGGGTCCTCAAAATTGCGTTTGGGTCCCGGGAACCCCTCTAAGCCACCATTTGGATGAGCAATTCTTTCAGGAAGTCACTTTAATGGATGCAAAGGGAAGCTGCCCCCAAACAACCCCGCAGAAAAGAACGTAGAATGCGAGGCAGCCGGTCCAGCGGCAAAAACAGCGAGCAGTCCAGGAGAGCTTCGAATATGAGAAAATTATACTCAAAGATACTCAAAGTTCCCATCCTCTGTAAGCAACCAGTCCAAGCAAGTTTGCTCCGAAGTCAAGTGACCAACTAAAACATCTTGAGGAACCTTGAACGCACATGACATATTCCCAGTCATGACATCCACCAGTCATGACAGGCGCCACTCACAACAAGCCGCTAATCTTCACAGCCCAAACGGAATCGTTGCACAAAACTGACTGTTTGTTGCAGCCCCCTGCAAAAATGAACAGAGCCAAACAACAAAAACACAAGCAACTTGCCAAGAACAGTCAAGGACACCTGCCGCGACAAATTCCGAATCCAGCTAAACTTGGTGGGATACCTGAATAAATCAGGATCTGTGGCATCCATTCGCCAAAGCTGAACTCCCAGTAGTGGGGGAAGTCAAACATATCAAACTAATGCTGCTCACCGATGACACATATATGCTACGCACACGCACGTATATGTACATGAACACATATGTACACTATAAAATATATGTGCTATATGCCTCGTCAAATCTAATACCAAATCAACGAAATAGCCCTCCAAGACCCAACCCAAAGTAGACAAAGGACAGCAGTAAACCAAACCAGCCCCAACCATCAAGGGCATTTCCAGGCAGAACTGGGGGCATGTATGCTGATAAACCACGCTCAAAACGCAGCCTATGCGTTTTACAGTGGCAAATAGCCTCCACAACCCCTGTCCCTAAAAACTGCCCCTGAACCCCATAAAGCCCAAGACCAACCACCAAGAAAAAGACGGTAAACAAAAAAAACAACAACAACAAGGAACCCCCCCCCCCCCTTGATTCGTGCGCCTGTGACTCGCGAGGACCTCGCTGAGTGAGCGTCCCGCTGCACTGGGCGCGTGGCTCGCCAAGGACAAGGCCTTGGGGCTGCTTCTTTCAAAGGTTCCACGGCCATGTGGCCATGGGTCAAAATCCAAATCGTACCCCTGGGTGCTCATTGTTTTTGGAGGGTTCCCTGTTTTTGGTGGGTTTTAAAGGGAATCATTTGGACACATGGGCTTTTTTGAGGGTCAAAGTCCAAATCGTACCCCCAGTGAACATCCCAATTCAACCACTAAAAAGACTAAAATGGGTGGTGAATTCACCAACCCCAACCGAGATCCCAAACCAGTTTTGACCCAAGGCCATGGGATGGATCTGTTCAAAGGCACCGTTCAGAAGCCCTGAGCCTGAAAGAATCCAATTCTCCAACTTAACCGACAAACCATGGCTTCCCGGATGGACAAAATCCGTTCAAAAAACAATGAGAAACATGAGATGGATAAACCTCGGAGATGGATAAACAATGATAAAGCCCTGTGAAATGTGGGATAGACCTCGGTAAACCACCTACTGAGCGGTGCAGGATGTTTTTGGTCTCTCCACACCAGCTCCCATGCGGGATGCCCCAAATTGTCCAGTAAACCCACCAGACATATCCGAGCCTGCAGAAAGTGACCACTCGTTGCTGGTTGATTGACGTTGAAAGGTAGAATGATGGAAGCAAAAGGTAACAAATCAAAAGGTCAGCTAAGTCTGGCAATGAACCAACCAAAAATTAAAAAATACAAAACCATGGCAAACTGCCGAGAGAATATGTGTTTTCTTGGTTGCCTACTTGCATTTGTTGGGGGCATCCGCGCATCCAGCGTCCCATACCTCTGAAGACGGGTTCTGATGTTCTGAAAACTGCGGGATGGAGAGATCGGGTGGATGCCCGATATGTTGCAAGTAAGTGAGCAAGGATGCCCAGTCTGATTCACAATGTTTTGTGGCTGGGTTTACTTGCAGTTCTCCTGGCATCCGCAGCTCCCGTACCTCAGGTTGATTGCCCATGGTGTTCAACCATCCCTTTGGCCCTTGTCAACCATCCATTTGGTCATCCCATGTTCATCGGACCTTTTAATCAACCCCCACACGTGTGGGGCAAGCATAGAGTAACCCGCAAATGGGACGCCCGGGTTTTCAGGGAACCAAGTGGACTGAAACGTGCGGTCCATGTCCTGGTGACTAATTTTGACCCGTACCCACATGTCCGTGTCAGGTAAAGCCAGCGGCTCGAGGCAAACACCAGTTGGACACCAAGGCACTGAGGCGATGCACGGCACACCCTCCGCCACGCCTCAGTTTCATTCACCGCTCCCTTGGGGCGTCTTCGCGAGGGTGCGCTTTGTCCAAAAGGATTTGTTCCTTTCTAGGTCCTCCAGTAGAGAGGTTAGAATGAGGGTGCCAACTTTTCCTGTAGTCTATTTTAGTAGGGGAACCCTCCCCCAAAAAAGAAACGGTAAGAAAGGGCACTACTGGGGGACCTAGCTTAGGACGTGGATTGGTGAGTCCCCGGGTTGTCGAACATCTCGCGAGTCCCCGAGCAGCTGAGCAGCTCCCTTCCGCCCTCGATGGACCATGGACAAACCGGTACCAGAACTTGCTTAACTCTAAGAAACCAGCTACAGGAAGTTCTACAGGAAACCCCGGATTTTGGTGTGAATTTGGCTAGTTTCCTGTAGAACTTCCTGTAGCTGGTTTCTATGATTAACCGTTCGTTAAGCAAAAGTTGCTTCTCCGCACTTCATCATCTTGGAATTACCCTCCCACCAATTCATATGGAGGCTGACAGGGGTCCTTTTGGAAGAAAATTGTCTTCCAGGACACCCCCGGTCAGGCTCCATGTTAATTGGTGGGAGGGGCAACATGGATGTGAACTTCCACTAGGGGCGCGCACCGGCGCGCAGCATGAGGATTCATGTCCGACGGCTTGGGAGGGTGGTCAAACTTCCGGGACCAACCTAAAGCCAGTTGCCTTCTCTTGGTTGACGTTGGGTTTGGGGAGCCAAAAAAAATGAATTCTAGCAGTTAAGTGCCTGGATTTCACCCACACCACAATAAGCAAAGATGGAGAAGACGTTTCCCAACGACCATGAAAACCACTAACTCCTTACATGGTTGGACAACTCCTTACCATGCAAACCATGCAAACCATGCAACATGCAAAACCCAAGGACCATGTCCTGAAGCGATCGAAGGGGCTTCCAATCCGCAAGCCCTTGGCCCTGAGGCTCTTTGCTCGGAGCACTCTGCTCTGACCAAGCGAGCTGCGTACAAAACGCGTTACCTGCGTACGAGTGGAATCCTGGAAGCTGTTGATCAGTTCAAAAAGAAGTTGAACTAGTGTCTGATCAAGTTCGAAGTGAACTTGAAAAAACAATCCAAAGCGGAAATAAGGGATGCCCAACTAAAGGACCATCAAAGAAAGGTGGTCGCTTAGATTTACCCAAGTCCCTTGCTCTCACGCACGGATATCCAAGGGTGCGTCACCAACATGTGGAGCAACTCACTTCTTGAGAGGATTGGTCAGGAAAAGTCCCGAACTTTCTCCGGAACTGTTCATTTGCACTTAAAATTATCCAAACCCAAAAAGTGACAAAACTTCCTTGGAAGTGCGGGAGTTGGAGCGGGTGATAGTGAGGATATTTTACCGCCTGTTGGCATATTGGCGTCATATTTCTGCTGTCAGGATCGCGGGGTCTGGAAACTCTTCGACCGAGCGTCTGATCAAGTCCTCGTACAGGTGTCTGAACACCTGGCCACCGGACAAAATCACCGGCCAAGAAGCAAAGCGCATTCATACTGTGGATGGACAAAATCCATTTCGCACCACTTTGAAACCATGGTTGAATCCATTGTTTGTTGGTATTTGCAGGTGAACAATCATTCCAGGATTTCCTAGGTGGTTCAGGATTTCGTCCATCCACAGTAGGATTCCGACCCCAACCCCTTAACCCCCAGCCCTGTTTCCCTAATGTAAGACACTGGGGGCCTGAATTTCAGGCCCTATTTGCAGAGAACGTGCCGTTGGGGGAAGGCAAAGAGGAACCACCTGTTTCGGGAGTTGTCTAGTGTTGACCTTTGATTCATCAACGCGTCCTGTTACCAGGCTGTTCCCGCCAAAAGTTATCTGAAGCCAAACCACTCAAAAGGAACATGGTATGGTAGTAATTAAAAAGCTTGTGTGTTTGCAGCCCCTTCTAAACATAAACAGAACCAAACAAGCTGAAACCTAGCAAGATGATCCAACAACAGTGGTTTCTTAATCTGGGTCATTGCAAACACACCCAGTCTCTTTCTCAAGCGTTCGGGGCACTACTGGGAGCAATTTGCAGGATCGAATTTGTCTCAGAACCCGCCCACGCCTCCTTGCAAAAACGACAGCGGCCCGAACCCACATACATCCTAGACTCCTAGCCGGAGCTTCAGAATGATCTTTGGGTGAGCTCGCACTTAATTTCATGCCTCGGCCGTGATCACTCACACTACCATGACAACGTGACCGCTAAGCAGCCCTGTACTCTACCCTTCTCCTTTTCCGCATGCGCAGCGTCACAGGGGCGGGTCAGGGCGTGTTCTCTCAAGCCCGGGAAGCCAGCCCTTGCCGAACCCCACCCAATCCGCGTGAAGACGTGGTGAGCCTAGATGTGCTGTGAGAATTGGGCTTCGTTCTCGTTCGGATGGAAAATCACATGATTGTTCTTCGCTGCAACGGTCCCACTGAACATGCCGACAGGATGATAGATGAGATGCATTCCTCCAGAAAGATACCATGAAGCCCAAAAAGACGGACACTGACTCGTAATTAGCCTATATGCGACCCTTCCGATTCGCGTTTCCCGCGTTTCTCGCGGGGATTCGCCTGCAGGAACCTCTCTGTCGAGGGTTCAAGAATCACCTGCAACGTGCGGGTGGTGTGCTGGGAAAGGCTCCGAAATCCGCGGATTCTCCGCTTTTTGGGGCTACTCCTTGGGCAAAAGGTGGGCGTTGTCCTTTCTTGCTGCGAGAGGTAGGGAATGACAACGAGTCCCGGGTTTGGGAATTGATGAACCTAGTTCCTTGGATTGCTTCTCGGGGTTCCATTTCTCATTCGCCGATGGAAGCAGCAAGCTTTAGGGTGAGTGAAGCCAAGCTTCGGGGTCACACCAAACACCGGACTACCGTGGCACCCAGTACAAGTTGGCTGATCCGCAGAGGAACGTAATTCAATACCAACCAACTTGGTTGCTGTCGCCTGCAAAAAGTTTGACTTTTTGGGGGTTTAGTGGAAAACGCCTTGATTTCCCAAAAAGTTAAAGTCTAAAGATCCGTTGCCCAATAGGAGTCAAGCCAAGGATATGGTTTCAACCCTGGTTGCCTGTTGTGGTGCAATAGTTCATCCAGGCTTACGCCCAACCGGCCTTGGTCGTGGAACATTGGTTGTCTCAGCCAATTTTTAAAAAGAGGTTCACTGCCCAAACAACCTCAAGAAAGCATTTGATTTGACCACTGCGGGAAGTAAGCCTTTCTTTCTGTGATTCCAAAGTGGTATTCCCATCCCTTGACTTTGGCATGGCAATCCCCTTGCAAATGATCAACTGGCGCAAGCCTAAGCTTCCCACTCCCACCAACAAAACCGTCCAGACCCTGACTAACCAACAAGGGCTCAGGGTTGTCTGGGGTACCCTGGAAAGCTAAGTAGCCCTGCCGCCAGGAAACCCACCCTGGCGAACTGCAAAGGGGATCCACCGGGATCCACTGAGTTCGAAGTCGCGCTCGATCTCGCCTCCCCGGGCTGCCCCAGGTGAACTGAGATGGCGAACCTCGACAGTGAACCCGCGGGGCGGATCGAGGCGGCCCAGGCGCCCCCCAAAAATGGTGGGTTTCCCTCTGGCTTCCGCTTGAAACACTCCCCAGAAGGGTGCATACCGACAAGCCCGCCTTTTTACGGAAGCGCGGCCTTCGGCGAAATCAAAGCTGGGCGTTCGGCATCTTGCGCTTGTGCTCACCGACCCCACCTTCCTGGGCTCCAGAAGCAGATTTGGGACTGCTTTGGGTTGAAACTCAAGGGACGTTCCCCGCCAGGCCCACTAATGGGTCAAAATGGAAAAAATGGGTCCTTTACATGCCAGAAACGTGTGCCTTTTGCCGTTTTGAGAAGGTCCCTGCCTGTTCAAGGGAAGCTTCAGATATGGCTTTGTAACGTAAATACCATACTACCTTGCGATCTAAGGGTCAACTTATATACCCCCAAAGGACATGTCCCACCCATACGCCTTATATAGGAATGGAGTTGGGGTATGCACCCTGTATTACCCATGTATATCCACTAATTTAGGTTGGTATGTCCATTTGGGGTATGCATTTTTGTTTGTATATCAGCATCCCTACCTCAGCCCATTCATGACTTCACAACCCTTGGTAGCAACAACTGAAGGCTCTTTGCAGCCTCCTACTAAAAATGAGCAGATCACCAACAAAGACAATCAACAACAAACAAAACAAGTGGCGAACAGACCCAAAACAAACCACAAAACAAACAAACAAACAACCTGGTCAAGAACAGTGAAGATGAGACCTCCGAGGTGCCCGCCACTCGACGCAGCAGCTCCTCGACAAGAGCTACCGCTCCATAGCCACGAAGTTTCAAGGGGCAGTTGGCCAAAGGGAAAACCCATGCTTCTTTCCAGCACATGGGGGTTGATCGATCTTCCTTTCGGCTCCGCGTATGGGTAACTTGTCCCCTGTGGTTTACATTTCCTGCCTTGTTCCCCAATTTTTACCAAGCACTGGAGATCCCATGTTCATGGGACCTCGCTCACTCCCAACCCTTCGTGGAGTGGCCAGAAGAAGGTCACCAAAGTTTTCCTACGTTTCCCACCACGGTCCAAACCCAAATAGTGACTAAAGTCCATGAGCTCAGGGACTCAGGGAGCCTTCCGAACCTTTTCTTGCTGCCAGGGGAATGACAAGTTTCCCTTAAAGGAAACCACACGGGATATCACGGGGGTCATTCCCTCAGCAAGCTTTGTTTCCACCATCCCCCTGCAACTCTTCACTCCCATTGGCAAGATGCCATGAATTTACCCGCCAAAAGCAAGGATGTCCCGTATTGCCTGTAGGCTCCTTATGCAGCTTCAGCCACCCAACATTTCTGATGTTTGGTTTTGGCCCTCTCTCACCCCAACACACTGTTATCAAACTTGTGGTTTGCCGCGAAAAGGCGCTCACAGGCTCACAAGCAAACGCCATGGCTTCTGGTTGCTTGACTTGCTTTATTTTGCTGGGATCTCTTTGGAACTGTTTTTGCCCTTTGAGGTGTAGGTTGCTGCTGTGGGGGGAGGGGGGGGGCGGTTCAGGAGATGCCTCGCTACAAGCTTATTAAATCTCTCACTTTCCGAGTCCGAGTCAGGATGTACGACAAAGACCGCCAGTCTTTTTGTTGAGGCAACCTCTCTCCATTAATCATGGAAGTGGGCGGTAGGGTTTTCAAAGACTCCCAGACCACCACCCCCTGAAAAGGCCCTGGTCCATTTCCATGATTGTTGCAGACGTGGGGGCCTCTGCTGTGGTGAAAGGTGATAACTTCGGAACCAGCGAGCCTGTGCCAGTCTGCTTCTTTTTCCTCGCAGGACCAAATCGGAGCTCTTGCTTGGCTGCGCCGTTCGGCGCAGCTCGGAAACTGCCGCGCACTGTTTCATGCGCGCAGTAACACGAGAAGCTCTATACAATAAGGTGCGCCATGCGCCTAAGGCCTAAGTTCGAGCTGCCAGCCAAACCACGGAAGCTAACACAAGATGATTAGAGTCAGTGGAATGCCACGAAAAGGACACCTGTCGACACATCGATTCAGTTGCCTTGGCAACGCGGCCGGGTGCGTGCGCAAAGTTGCACAGCCTGGCGCCAGTTGCACGTGACAGGGGGCGCCCAAGCAGCCGCAAAATCCATAACGTCGACCCGGATGGATCAACCAAAAAGCCCCAACCAAACAACCAGAGGGCCAACCAAGCAAGCAAAAGCAACCAACCAAGCAAGCAACCAACCAAGCAGCCAAGCAACCAACCAACCAACCAACCAACCAAGCAAGCAAGCAAGCAAGCAAGCAAGCAAGCAAGCAAGCAAGCGACCAAGCGACCAAGCGACCAAGCAACCAAGCGACCAACCAAGCAACGAAGCGACCGAGCGACCAAGCGACCAACCAAGCAACCAAGCAACCAAGCAACCAAGCGACCAAGCAAGCAAGCAAGCAAGCAAGCAACCAAGCAACCAAGCAAGCAAGCAACTAAGCAACCAAGCAACCAAGCAACCGAGCAACCAAGCAACCAAGCAACCGAGCAACCAAGCAACCAAGCAACCAACCAAGCAACCAACCAAGCAACCAACCAACCAACCAACCCAACCCAACCCAACCCAACCCAACCCAACCCAACCCAACCCAACCCAACCCAACCCAACCCAACCCAACCCACCCACCCACCCACCCACCCAACCAACCAACCAACCAACCAACCAACCATGGGGAAACTTGCCCATCTCCACGTGCCGCGGGCTGTTTGACGCGGAGCGCTGACGGTGTCGCACTCAAAGTCTGCCATTGGTTTTGCCCCGCTAGGCTGCCAACCCAAAAAGGGTTCAAAGAGATTGCTCTTCAAGCGAATGCGGTTTGGGTTCTAGGGGTTGGTTCCCTGGTCAACCATTGTTAGTTTCAAATTTCGGCCGTGTCCTCTTGGTTTCTGGCGGTTTTCTGGAAAACCTTGTATCCAAAAGCCGGACATGGGAGAAGCTTCCCGTAGGATTCCATGTGCGTCTGCGCCCTTAAAGCCTCCTACCCCCAACACCCAGCCCAAGGAAACCCCGCATCCAAGGAGTCCTGCGGCTTGCCCGCCTCAAAGCTTCGGGAGCTTCAGGCTGGTCTTGTTGGTGGACAGATCCCCTGCCATCGCAAAGGGCGGTCGGACTTCGGACTTCGGCGCAGGGACAAAAACCTTCCGAGGAAACGGTGTAAAGCACGCTGGAATTAAACCCGTCAGAGTGTGTCCATGATGCCGTTCAGAGGAAATTCCAATGCCAAAGCGACCACTTGATCATTCAGCGTGGTTTCCTGTGACAATTCAAGTGGCACGCCTTTGAGCCGTTTTTGGGCTCTTGAAACTCCTTCGGGTCGAGCGCACAACCAGATGGCTGTGGCTCAAAAAGACCGATGCCAAGATGGGTTGCCCTGGTAAGTGGAAACATGGACCAAAACCTGCGGTTTGCCCCTCCCGTTTAATTTTGAGCCACACCCAGAGATCTCCATCGATATGGCCATGGTTCAAAAGCCCGTACCCCCAGTGAACATCCCAATCCCAACTCAAATAGACTAAATGAGTGGTGCACCTAGCCCAAAATGGTACCATTGGTTTTGACCCACAGCCATATCCCGACTCGTCCGACTCGGGACAGAGAGAGCGCCTCGGAGGTCCAAGAACAAGCTCACGAAGGTGTCCTGGTCGATAAGACCTGGCGGCAAGACGAAGAGTCAGGCAGGTGTTAGGGCCGTTTTTTTGCGTGTCGGGGGGGGGGGGGCTGTGTTTTGCAAGATGAAGATCCTTTGGGCTTTTGGCCCATGAGTCAGGCACGTTTTTGTCATTTTGCAGTGCCCCTTAGCAGGCAAGGGATGGTACCTGATGTGCTTGCCTTCACGATCAATCAATGTATTGTGCAAATCCTGTGACTTCAAGACGGTTCTGGTTCGTATCAATGCAAATTGCAGGTACTGATATCCGGCGACATTGCGGCTTTATGTACACCATTTGTATCTTGAGGGCATGTGCCTAAATGTCTTGAAGGAGGGACTTCCCTCAATCCAAAGCAAGTACACACATACATTCCTGCAAATGGACATGAGACCCCAAAAGCCATCAGCTTTAGTCGCGACTAAAGGTGCGCTTTGTGGAAATGACTTGTTCCTGGTAGTTAATTAGACCCGCTCCCTCCCACCCATGGACCATAGACAAACCGGTATGACCAGCTCTTGCAAAACGCTTTTGGGGAGAAGCTTGGGATGTCAGCAGCCTCCGGAAGGCGCCCATTTTGTGGATTTTTTCCAGGGAATGGCTCCGCTTTCACTGCTTCCACGCGTTCGTTCATGTGGATGATGCCAACTCCGTTCGCACCGTTCAGAAGCCTGGAAGTCGCTTCCCCAAGGCTTTTCGTGGTGCGAGCTGGGGATCCACAGTAGGGGGAGAATTGTGGCATGCTTTGGTTCCGCCAGCGATATCTGGGCGGGCCTCCGAAGTCTGCCGGAGTCAGTGCCTCAAACAGCACATCCGCCGACTCCACTGGCAGGCCCATCTTCCTTGAGCCCAGGCGAACAGACGCTGGAGCTGAGTTGGACACACGACAAAACAAGCGCCGAAAACGCGCGACTGGCGGACACTTGAAAATGTGATGCCCTGGAAAAGGGAACATCCAGGAGCTCAAACTTTCTTCTGAAACCACTACCTTCGGGGGAAAGCAGAACATGCACTCTGTATAAAATTGGCCGTACATGACGCACATGCCCAAATCAGCCCCTAAATGGTGGTGGTTTGCTGCCAAAATGGGCAGCACCCAGTGGCATCGCCGGGCATGACTTGTTCAGGATCCGTTCCCCTGGGCCTCATTCCCACGGGTCTCTGGCAAAGTCAGAAGCCAATTCTCCCCACATGAGACAAGCGGGCTGCCCTCACATGCTGGTTTTTCATCCTCACTTCCTGGGTTCATTGGCCACCAAAAAAGGTCAAGCACCACGGTATGTTCCACTAAAATGGTCTTCCCAATAAAGGATGCAGTCCAGGAAACTCGGGGAGTGAGCAAGGCCTCCGTTGAAGAGCACCCCCAAACGGCCCGCCCAAAGGCGCCGCGAGCGAGCAAGCCCTGCCCGTCCCCGACGTCAAATACGTCGGCTCTTGCGGCCGCAGCTTCTTCACGAAGAAGCGCAGCTCCATCCTTAAGTCGGATTGAAAAGTTCGAGGTCTGGGGATGGGGTGTCCAATCCCATTCTACACTCCCTCAGGCTGACAAGCTCCCAGACCTCTGTAAATGGAACCAAGTCTTTGAAAGGGTGCTTTTGAGCTTCCATGTCAGGGGGGAGGGTACCGTCTTTCCAACCAAGTGGAAAAAAGTTGTCTTCCCTGGGCCTTCTGTCAGCTTCCACGCCTGGAGGGTAGCTCTCCAAGGGCCGCAAAGCTCCATGGGATGTTTGATCGGGGGACCTGCGCGGGTCCTAATGACACGGGTTCCGATTGCTACAGGCCAATCATGTGCGTATCAAGGAATTTATGTCTGAAGACTCAGGCCAATTATGTGCTTAAAGCTCCACTTTTCCTGGTTGCCAAGTGACCCCCGGCAGCTTCTAGCCTGGGGGGTTGGGTTCATGGCTTGCACTTGCGTTTCTGCCATCGAGGCTGCAACAACCCAACCCAAAGAGGAAACTCACGACATGCCCAAAGGATGCAGCGAGAGACAAGAGAATAACAGCCTTCTTTGGCCATGTCTCGAACTTGGCTGGAATTAGGACCCCAGCAAATTTTATCCTTTTTTGCCTGGCTAGTGGAAAGCAAAGGGACCCAAAAAAAGCAAAAACGACTA